CATCTAAGAATGACTTTACATCTGTGTCAGCCCGTGGTCATGCTGTGGTTGATTATTGCATTACAACACATGAGAACCTACCTGTGATTCAAAAATTTACTGTGCAAAGGGTTAATGAATTATGTAATGCTTTAGACCTAAGGCCGGTCTGTTCCTTACCCGACCATTCTCTGCTCTCCTGGGAATTCGATCTCTCACCTTGGAATGCAGTTGACAGCTCTCACCATTCACATGTGCCAACGGAAGTTCACTACAAGTTTAATGTGGATGCAGTGCCAAGCGACTTCATGAATTCTAATGAAATTTCTCTTAAAATTAATGCTTTGTTACAAAATATTCCCAAGATTGATCTCACACAATCAAATATTGATAATGTTTATAATGAACTTAAATCTGTGTTATTGAGTGAAATGAAAACCAAACTTCCTTATAGATCTGTGGGTGGTGGAAACACCCGGGCAAAGAAATATTTCAGACCTAATAAAGAATGGTGGAATGATGAGCTTCAAATAATGTGGGAAAATGTCAGGGATTCGGAGCGGCTTTGGTCATCAGTGAAATCAAATAGTGGTATCTCTTTACAATTGAAAAATGATTATGTAAGCAAACGTCGTGACTTTGATCATGCTAAACAACGAGCAAAACGCCAGTTTTGGAGTAAATCGCAAGAAGAACTCTTACAAAAACAAACCAGCGATCCACGGAACTTCTGGAGAGACATCGGTCGCATCGGAATTCAGAAGGATAGGAAAAGCACCATTCCCATGGAAGTAGTGAGAGATGACGGAACTGTTTCCACGGATACTACTGAGGTATTATTGAAATGGCAAAATGACTATGCAGGTCTATTCAGTGTGTCAGATAAAAATTGTGATAGTTTTGATAAATCTTTCTTAGCCCAGGTTAATGAGAAGCTTTATAGCTATAGACAGGGTGAACTTGATATACCAGATTTGAGTGCCAGTCTTAGCACTGATATTACGTTTAAAGAAGTTGAGCTTGCAGTTAATGGTGCTAAGTGTGGTAAAAGCCCCAGGCTTGATGACCTGCCTTCGAAGGTTTTAAAAAACAATACAACTATTATATTTTTGTATAACCTGTTTAAGCACTGTTTTGCTAATTCTGTTGTCCCTAGCGATTGGCTTAGGTCCGTCATTAATCCCATACCTAAAAGTAGTGGTGTTAATTCATGCGATCCACTAGAATATAGAGGAATAACACTATCATCTAGCATATGTAAGATATACACATCTATTCTGAATAGGAGATTATCGAAGTGGGCCGAAGATAATGAAATAATAGTTGATGAGCAAAATGGCTTTAGACAAGACCGTGGGTGTTTAGATCACATGTATTTAATGTCTGGTATAATAGAAAATAGTTTAAAGCAAAAGCAGAGCATATATGCCTGTTACATCGATGCAAGAAAAGCATTCGACAGAATTAATAGGTCTTTTTTATGGTATAAATTATTTAAACTAGGAATATGCGGAAATTTTATGAATTCCCTCCAGGCTCTATATGATAACCCAAAGTGCTGTGTTAGGGTAAATAACTATACAACAGGTTTCTTTGATATTGAAACTGGAGTAAAACAAGGGTGCCTGCTGTCACCTCTACTTTTTGACATTTACATTAACGATATGGTACATGATCTTAAAGCTCTGGGTAAAGGCATTAATGTAAACGATGAGCTGATCTGCTCGCTCCTTTATGCAGATGACGTTGTGCTTTTGGCCAAAAATGAGGAGGATTTACAGTCAATGCTTGATGTGGTGCACAAGTGGCGTTATAAATGGCAGCTGACTCTGAATGAGGACAAGACCCAGATAGTTCACTTTAGGTCACCTAAAATATCCAGAACAAATTATGTTTTTAAATGTGGCAACTTTACAGTAAATATTGTTGAAAAATATAAATACTTGGGTATGTGGTATTTTGAACACTTTGATTCGAATAAGACTGTATCATGTATAGCTAAGTCTGCAAGCAGAGCTTTAGGTCTTCTGATTGCAAAATGCAAGGCTTGTGGGGGCATGCCCTATGCATGCTTTACGAAGTTATACGATGCACTTGTAGCTCCTGTATTAGAATATGGTTCTGCTATATGGGGACTCCAGGAATTTAGTCAGATTAATGCTGTTTTCAATAGAGCTTGCAGGTATTTTTTGGGCGTGGGTAGGTACGCGCCAGTCGCTGCCACCCGTGCTGAAATGGGATGGATTTTGCCTTTTGAAAAGCAGTTAATTAATGTGACAAATTTCTGGTGTAGATTAGTTAATATGGATTGTAATAGGTTGACTAAAAAGGTGTTTTTAAGGAGTTTACGTGTATCAAACAATGGAAAGAAAAATTGGATAACTAGGGTTAAAGGTAAATTTAGTTATCTGGGAGTAAGCCACCTATATTTAACTGATAATGATAAACCGAAGGCAAGTACACTTAATTGTGTTAGGGAGAGTGTAGCTTTTGAATGTCACTCCGATTGGTGGCGAAGCTATGGGATGACACCCCACGTAGAAATGGAGGTGGAAATAAACTGAGGCTATTCAGACTGTTTAAGCAAGACTTAGTACTTAGGCTCTGTTCTCACAACTTTTAGATCGATCTATCACCGCGGGGAGTCTCACTAGATTACTGTCAGATAATCCCCCTTAAGTGTCCGTCCCCGCCTACTACAAGCTTTAAGGGGTAATTAACTTTCGTGTCCGCCCGGCTGACAGCTATTTAGCGTGAACCCCCAGGGAGTTAGATCGATCCAATGTAGGTCGATCTAATCTATGAGAATGGGGTGTTAGTGAATACGTTAAGAAACCAACTTTATCGCTTAAGCATCGGCGGGCATTAGCTAAACTGAGATGTGGGGTGGCCCCACTCAGAATAGAAACTGGACGGAATGAAAAACTTCCAATCCTGGAGAGAACGTGTGTACTCTGTGAATCAGGTTATGTTGAGGATGGGATTCATTTTTTAATTAATTGTCCATTTTTAATGATCACCGTACTGATTTAATTAGAATTGCTAAATGTTTTAAGCCAGATTTTGATTTATTGGATGAACTAAGCAAATTCCTTTTCCTGATTGACGATCCAAAAATGATTTTTAGCACTGCCAAAGCCTGTAGCCTTTTCTTAGGATTAAGAAGAAATTTTATGTATTTAAACTGAAATTAGTTTTTTAGTCTCTCATAGTTCTCTATAGAACTGCCTGATGACTGTTTTAATTTTTATTGGTTTTTTTTTAATTGTATCTACGGGTGAGACTTTAATAAAATAAATTGAATTGAATTGAAATATGACCTGTTACCGCACTGATGATCAGCTTATACTAACTTTGACCCCCCCTCCTCTCCCACATGGCAATGGTCATTATCACTGGAGGCGTGGCTTAGTCGAGTAATTTACATCCGGTTTTGATTACGCTTGGGAGAAATGTCGACCCACAGCTTAGACCAGGAAGTTTTTTTCACTTGACTTACGTTCAAAACACCAATTTTACGTCATTCATCGGGTGGCTAAAAAAGATTACAAATGTCAAAATTCAATAGTTTCAACAGAATTAAAGAAATTGTAATAAAATCTGAGATATTTTGGTAAAATGTTTTTTTTAAATAAATGCTAAAAATTTCATGACTACCTTTCTTAGTTTTGACACCTCGAAAGAATTGAAATCTTAAGTCGAAAAATGATGCCGCCCTATGTAACTTCTGACAAATACAAATCTCTGGCAGTTTTGACACCTGTCAATGTGCTTTTGATTGATGTAATATCAAATCTGTTTCACTTTGACACCTGAAATTTTCAGGGTTGAGCAATAATAATGTATCGAAAACCTGAACTGCTGAAGTTATTGAACTTTGAAATATATATAATTGGCTTTTGACTTTTGAAACTCAGTGTTAAAACGTTGTATCGTTTCATATTTGTCTCACATTTTCCATGGGTGCCAGGTTTTTCTCCATTTTTTAAAAAAAATAAACATATTTGAAAAGTTCTTTAATTTAAATCTAACAAATTTTGACAATTATTTAATCAGAACGGAAATCATTGTATGACATTCCTTACATAGAGTTATTTTTTACATCTTATAATCACTGTTCCGTAATACTCGGCGAATACTTACACTGACTATTTACTGCTTTGAAACCATCTGTCAACACGGGGCATTTGCTTATGTGATCACACCTTTGGTGAATTTAACGACAGATAAAAGAGTGAATCGCCAAATCAATTTCAACACAGTACCGGTATGTTGTTGTTTCCGATGGTAATATATAATTAATCAACACGAGTATTACCACTGTTTTTTTCGCAATGGTAATATATAATTGATCAACACGAGTCCAGAATCCGGTTAAATATGGCGTTTTATTCTTTCCTATCAAATGATTTCTTTATACATAATTTCTGGAAGGATCTAGAACACGGTGATAATGCAAAACTGTGTTTTTCTCTGATTTAGCCTTTTTCTATGCTACTTGAATAGCTGTGAGAAATAAGCTGCATCTCTACTGTTGTTACTGCTATTACTGTTAAGTCGCGGATGTGGACTTTATATATCCACACACGTGGTGTTAAGAAGCTCACAATATTTATAGATTCAGCTTTCATACCAATGTATCAAGTTCGAGGGAAGGTTTGCCTCTTATTTACGTTTATTTATTTATTTATTTATTTTTATTTTTTGTAACGTTCATCTTTGCGTTGCTTAGAATGATACGGCATAGCTATATATAGTTTTTCGGGTGCACATGCTACACAAGGTGTACACATGCTAGCTCTTAACCATAACATTAAAGGTATAAATACAACAGACCATAGAGAGGTAAACTGCATAAATAAAATTGTTATAATAATAGCGTTTTCATTAAAACGCTTATTTATAGCGAATTAATAAATCACGATATTTCAATTACGTTCGTTACTGGGTATATTTGGGATAAAATGCACCCCTACGCTATATAAACGAACAAAAAGTACATTAAAAATAATGGGGTCTAATTAGACTTGTGTGTCATTATCATCTGAACTTCTATTAGTTTGTTGAATTCGTTTCAAAAGTGAAAGTTTCATCTTTTTCCAAAACTCCGCCCTTTTGTGTTCATTTTCTTCCTCCGGCCACTCAAGATAGGTCACGTGACGCTTCATGAGTCTAAGCGTCTTGGGAAGCTGTTTATAAGGTATCTGCTCGAGAAACACAACAATGATCGCCCCACGCCTCTCCCGCAACACCTTTGCCTGAGTAATGTCAACCTCGTACTTACACCAATCACTTTTAATAAAGTTGTGCGAGATTATCAGTATAGTGGCTCTGCTTGCCTCCATTTTCTCTACTATGTTGTCTATGATGTATTCCCCAGGTAAGAAATCTCTTGAATGGATACACACTTTAAAGCTTATGTCCTGACCTTTACCTTGACCCTGGTCGGTACTCTGACCTTCACCCTCCACGTGCGGGAGAAATTGCCGCACAATCCACTCCTCACTACTGCCGGCGTAAGCCACGAAGGCGTCATATTCATAATGTGCTTGGTTCTTATTACATCTTACGTAGCTTTTACGAAAACGACTCTGTCTTCTTAGATGCCAACAGTATACGATGTCCAGACGATGATATGCGACAATACTTGCCAATCCCGCAACTACCACAACTCCGGCTCCTACACATATGAAAACAAAAGGAACCGTGTAACATGTTATCCAATCAGGATCAAAGTCTCGTAATCTGGTGTTTGTGAGCTCGGCGGGAACACCGCACGTTTGGTAGTCTCCCTCTAATGCCCGTATGGTTGGATTTCTGATCCAAGCGGAGAACCTGCTATTTTCGCAGGTACAGAAAAAATTGTTTTTCTCGACGTTAAGGTAACGAAGTGCGGTGTTTTGCTGTAGCATATCCACATCAACAGTAAAGAGCCTGTTATTACTAAGATTCAGATGCACCAGTGAATATAAAACGTTTATTGAAGAATCTATACTTTTCAGAAAATTGCTCGATAGATCCAGATATTCTAAACGAGGTACCTTGGAAAACATGTTCGCCGGAAGTGAGATCATGTTGTTCGAAGCTAGCACTAGTATTCTCAGATTAGGTAAAGATTTGAAAATGTTAGGAAGTGTTTTGCCTCTCCAAATTCTTCTGCAAAATAAATCGTTACCCGCCAAATCTAGTTCATCCAATCCCGATAGCCCTACAAACAAAGACCTGCCGTCATCAGAATCCGGTACACAGAGCGCGTTGTTCCTGTAATGAAGATTGACCAGTGTGGACATGTTTTGGATGTAAAATGTACAGCCCGTATCCCACAGGTACAATTCGTTCAGGGAAGTCAACATCGTTAAATTGAGATATTGGTTAGACAATGGATTATATGTCAGATCGAGATATTGTAAATGTTTATGAAATGGAAAATCTATCTGTCTCGTATGGGTGAACACGAAAGAATTTCCTATGGCATCTAACTTTTGCAGGTTAACAAAGCTCGAAAGTATTTTATAAAGAACTTCCATATCGTAAATTTTGTTGTAACCGATGTCCAACTTGATAAGCGGCGATGACATATTTGAACTTGTTGGAAATGTACTGGCAATCGTTGATATACGGTTTCTTTGAAAATCGGCTCTCTTCAAATTTGGAAGTAGCGCAATGAATTTTGGCAAATCAACGAGTGAGTTCTTCTGAAATGACACGTTCTGAAGTTCATTTACGGGGACAGAGAGTACCAGTGAAAACGACCCTTACATTGGCGATGAAAAAAACACCCAAAAGTAACAGAGGTCTACGAGTTCCAAAATCCATGGTAGCTCGCCGCTCTGTTGTGCTTGTCGTATATGTTCGTCAGTTAAAATGTCAGAAAATGAATAATTTTAGGCAAAAGCCGTAAGCACCACTGCCGGTCTACAAGCAAAAATTGCGCACGCTGTATTTAAACCAGTGTTGAACGCGACAGAGTGAGTAAACCACGCCCTGTAAGTAGTAATCAAAATTTTAAATGTTGTTTTTTAACAAAGTCTACGCAACACAGGAAGCTCCCCTTTGTGTCAACTTACTTTATTTTACGTTGACAGGTGAAAAAAGAATTAGGCCCACTCAGAGCTCGTGTTGAAATTGTATATGTTTGCTCTATGTCATATGAACCAGAAAGGGGTGTGGAGGGTAAAGTCATGTTTGGTATTAATTATCTTTAAATGATGCAGGTCATCGTCACCGTGCAGCGTGGTAAAATGACCTTTGAATGAGAGAAAATATGGTTGTGCCTCGTTTTTATCTTTAAAATGGTGGAAAGAAACACATTGTATCCTTAGGAAGAAAAAAATCTGAAATAAAACACATTTTTTCGTTTTTTCTTTGTTATCTTAAACCT